TAGTATTAGCTCTGTTGTTGTCTGTGAATTTGAACCAATTGAAATAATAATAATAATAATAATAATAATAATAATAATGACGTTTGCATCTGGGCTACATGTACATGCACATACATGTACATGTACATGTATGTATTGCTTTCAGCTTGTGTACGTGTACATGTACAGTAGAGTGCTTTTAAAAAGCTAAGTAGCAAAAGTAGAGCACAGTAGAGAAGAGAACTTCGCAGGTAGTTCGTAGGTAGTTTAATTTTACTTCGCTACTCTTCGTTACTCTTCACTGCGCTACGCCCAGGAGGTACTGTGGTACTGCCCAGTCACATGTTCTGTAGTAGCAAGTGCTCACTCGCTCTAGAGACTCTCAAAGGACTTGAAGATGCTTCTCTTGGCTGTCTGTGCCCTACAAGTTCATCTCTACTGCTGCTCTCTGCTTTTAGGAGCCTGTTTAGGATAGTCTTCGCTTGATTCACCGTCAAGCTACTGTTTGCTACTGACCACATGCGCTACTACTACAGTCACATTGCGCATGCACAACGAAGAGCATTGAACTACCAACACAACAGTAGAGTAACTGCGGAGTAGCTACTTAGCTTTTTTAAAGCACTCTACTGTACATGCACATTGTACATGTATAATGCATTGTATGTACATTGTACATGTACATGAGGAATAAAGGCAGTTCTGGAAGTAATATAATTGGCTGTGAGAGAGAGAGAGTGAGGGGGAGGGAGAGGAAAAGAGTACATGTACTCTGTGAGAGACAAAGGAGAGGAAGAGAGAGTGAAGTACCAGGGTAACCAGACTGTGGTAGTGATGTCATCAGTCTACACATAGTGGTCAGTTACTGATATAATTATAGTAACCAAGAGAGAGTTGTATGCATATGTAATCACTAACTAAACTCCTAAGGATTCCTTCCTTTACTTTGAAGTTCAATGCTAGTAGGCTGTAGTATAAACACACACTTCTATAGGCTATGACAATTGTCTGTACATGTAAAACGTACCTCATTGTGTTTGCAATGTACTGTCACCTTAACTACTGATGATCTAATTCTGTTGTCTGTATACATCATTATTCATAGCAACCTTTTATTCTTGACATGTGCATAATTGATTTTTACTGGCACGTGCTTGTTGCTACTGCCCTTAATTCAATGTGTATTAACAAACCTCAATATTGTTATTCCATATCTCCCCATATGGAGGGAAGATCAAAAGGTTCTTGTATTTTTGCAGCTGCTACAATTTAATCCTTTTAGCGATCCTTTGATGGGACCACATGCAATAATGCAATTTTAAAATAATTGCACATAAGCACAGATCCACACATCCACACACCTCATAAATGGTACTATGTACATGTTTGTACATCAACACCTCTTATTGGTTTATTTGATTTTTAGTGTCAAGTACAAAATTACATCCTTAAAATTATATGCCCCATTAGTTTAATGTACATGTACATGTTGTATGTGACACTTCCATAGCTACACAGTCTGTGTGTACTAACAATTGGACCTTTGGGAAGTTGAAGGTTGAGTTTATATGAGGCTTCTGTTGACTTACTTGATATTCTATTACTGATAATTATTAGAATGAAATAAATGTAATTTGTGTTGCTTGGAGAAGTGTATGTCACTCTTAAAAATGTACATGTACATGTACATGTATAATTTTATTATTAAATTATTTTTTATTATTTATAGTCAGGATCATGTACGAGTATTAGAAGAAACAAAGAATCCACCTCCTTCTCCCCCTCCCTCCCTCCCCCTCCCTCTCCCTCTCCCCTCTCTCCCTCTCAAACCTCCGGAGAGCCATGTACCAACCTCCCTCGTACTAAACCTATCTACCCACAGCCTCCAAAGATCTGGCAGTCCGACAGATATTAGTAGAAAGGATGAAGGATTTGAGGCTAAATATAACAAGAAGAAAAGCAAAGAGTTGTCATATTCTCGTGCCCTTGCTCAGCGACCCAGTGAAGCTCTTAGCTGTCTCAAGGCTAAAATAAACAGTCTACAGAATAAAGCTATTAATGGGGGTGTGGCAGTAGGAGGCGGGGCCTCTGTGTGCGGGGCTAATACTAGCGATTCAAGGACTCCGGTTCCCATGTTCCCAGATTCTATTCCTCTACCGCTGCACGATAATGATGATTTCATAAAACACTCGAAATATTTCAGTCCTCGTCTGCTCTCCAAATCTAATGTAATGCAACAGAGACATCACTATAGGCGACCGACTTTAAATTTATCTAAAAAGACGCTGCTGCCTATATTTTTTCCTGGTTACGATAAACTTGGTGAAACTCAAGCTCTAGGTGGTCCCCATGGCAAGAAAGGAGCCATCGCCCGGCAATATTCGGAGGACGTCTTCTCGCGTCCTCAGACTCGTTCTCATACCACTGCATCTCATTCCCATACCACCGCGTCTCATTCCCATACCGCCTCGTCTCACACCCATACCATAAAATCCCATACTCATACCACAGGGACTGTGACTCCGCTGGTAGCAACAATGACTCATTCCCATGCTCCTAGCAGTGCCGTCTCGTCTAATCGCGGGTTCGTAGATGCAGATTTAGCTAGCGTCTCTGGCAAACTATTACTACTTGATAAAGAAGGTCAAATTGTTCACGAAGTACCTCAAACAGAATTAAGCATACCGGCACTCCAATTGCCAGATAACGAAGAAGAGGAGAAAGTGGAGACAAGTGACTCCATTTTGTACCCTATAGAAGGTACTGTAGCTCCTCCACCTTCTGCTAGAGAAGATGTTAGTCCATCTGTGTCCGTTGATAAAAGTGGAACTATTACATCAGTAGTGGTAGAGAATGACTAAGAAGGCATTGTATTATCATCATTTTTGTTATTATCATTAATAATTTGTTTATTATTACGTGCATTTTAATTTTATTTCTTTATTATTTTTCTTAGAAGTTATTGTTTTTATTGCCAAAAAAGAAGAAATCAGAATCATTAATGTTAACTTGATGATTAATAATGATCAAAATTAATGTTATCAATTTTGATGTTATTCACAGAGTTCCCCTCCTCCTCATTCCTGCTTCTCTGGTTTCAATACTTGAGTATGCAGTGGGTGTACATCATTGTACAACCTTTCCATTAGGAGGTTTCCATCCTCATCAAACCACTCAGTGATTGACCTACAGTGTATGGAATAAACTTCATAATGAAGGAAATCAAGGAAACAGCCACCATTAATTTTAGTTTCAATCTGAGCTGCAGGGTTTCCCACAGGATTAGGCATAGTGCTGGATTGTTTATGGACTTTTTAGTTGTTCCAAAATTTGACAAAATACAAGGGTATTTTGTCAAAAATTGCTAGTAGAGGATTTTCCTTTTTATAATTTTTTTCTGATGTATATACATGTTCTTATGTTGTGTAGAAATTTTGAGCTCGTTCCAATCAAAATCAGATTTTTTATAAATTTATAAAGTTACTTCAAAATTGGGCCAAAATCCCTGTACTATAGTACAGGGACTTCAGCCAAATTTTGCCGAAAATGACTAGGAGAGAATTCTCAATTTTTATAATATTTTCTGATGCATATAGATGTCCTTATGTTGTGTAGCAAGTTTGAGTGGATTCCAATCAAGTATGGATTTTTAATAAAGTTTTAAAGTTATTGTGGTGCTTGCTACATGTAATTCACTAAGCATGCTATGTGGAAACTCTGAATCTCAGTATGCTTAATGACACATGGCACAGAGCCACTAATGTAAAATTTGTCAGTTATTCTACACTAATTTTACTTCATTTTTCGCGTCAGTAGTTAAATAGCATTAGAAATGATTATTTCTCTTACCTTTCAATGCTTTTGGTGGTCTCTCTATTATTTTTCCCATCAATAAATTTAAACTGGAGCGTGTACATGTGACTGTACTTGGGCAGTGAGGAAGAGACATATATGTAATCATTTGGACCCTACAAAGAAGAGGGGAAGAGAGAGAGATGAGAGATGAGAGAGAGAGAGAGGGAGGGAGGGAGAGAGGTAGAGAGGTAGAGAGAAAGAGAGAGAGAGAGAGAAAGGACTCAATCACTGTCTCTCTTTTCTTACCAATCCTGCTATTCCTCTCTGTACTCCGGTCATGAATATATTCTTTTCCCTGTATGAACTGAACAATGTCAATAAGCCAGAAACTACAAAATAAGTATTTAATTGGTTAAGAAAAAAACACATAATCTATAATCTAGCATAAAGTAATTTTGGAGGGAATTAAATTTGGCGAATTTGGCGTTTTGATAGCCATTTGCCCAAATAAAAATCCACCATTTTGAGCCATTACGCGCATGCTCAATGGCACATGGCCACAGATTTGCTAAATTAAAAACCACCAATCACCAAAATTTAGCAATTCGCCAAAACTTAGCCCCTCCAAATTTACCCACTATACGGTAAATCTGTAAAATTTTCACATGGTAAGTAAGGTTAGTTACTATAATACAATTAAGTATTTTAAAATAGGCTACAAAATTAATAAAACACCTTTCCAGAAAATTGACAAAATTACTTATCGACCAAAAATCCTAAACCTAATAGAATAAAATTTAGAATATAAAAGGATATGAAATTGAGCAGCTTGCCAGTACATATTTCGACGATGGAAATGGATAGAAATAATCATACACGACTGCAAAGAGGGAGAGAAGGCAAGCAACAGTACACAGAATCAATCGCTGATCAACTAGGGTGAAGTCTTCGGTGTAATTATATTCCTTCTTTAATAACTAAAAAAATAAGATAATTTTTAGGCGATTTGAATTATTTCGATTCTTATTTATACATTTTTAATGTTGTCATCTATACTATTTTTGACAGCATTCCCGTCCCACTTGTCAATATTAACTGGCTCGTAGTCCTAAAAAAATTAATTGTATTTTAAAATAAAGTTTTTTCCATTCTTTACTTCAGCCATAAAATCTTTTCTTTTGTCCGAACCCGCCATTTTAAAAATTAGGGGGTTAAAAATTAGAAAGCGCTAAATAGGCGGAGTCAGTTTGCAGACCACGCCCATAAAACAAAATGACTTCTTAGAAAGAGAAAGATGACTAACGTTTATTCGTTCGATGGTCTTATCGTGTTTGGATTACTAGTGATATGCACTTGTGCTTATCTCAGATCTGTCCCTCGTTTAAAAGATCTTTTGTTTTCAGAGAAGAAAGGATTTTGGGGTGCCCTTTATAAAGCATCAGTGATTGGAACAAGACTTCATTGGCTCGTCTCTTTATCTTGTATTGTAATGGCAGTATATGTTCTCTTTATTAAATGATTGTATTATTCCACCATGTTTCATTGTTTTAGTAGGCCAGACTATTGTTTTGGCTTCTAAAAATCAAAATGAAATTGAATCGGCGCCATTTTATTTTAAAGCCACACCTTTGTGAGTGGGCGTTCGAGTTCTCGGGTATAAATTTTGCGCCAAAGTTCGCCAAATCAAAATATGATCAAAGTGAGAAAAATGGCACCAGAAGCAACTCTTGTGGTCCTGCTTTTAGCTACCCTAGCCTGCTCTAATGGAGCTAAAAGTAAGCATTAAAAACATACTTTTCAGTCCTTTTTATGCTTCATCAATACTAGTTGTTCAGCCAGATTTATTGGAAGGTGACATTATGTTAACTTATGAGCAGGAGAGCCTCATGGAGACACTGACTGCCATTGATTCTGGTAGACCTGGTGACCCTCAACCCGCAGTTATCACTTTAAAATCGAGGAAATGGAATGATGGCATTGTTCCTTATGTCATTGATGGGTCACTAGGTGAGTTTTATATGGAATAATATTCAAGAGTTTTAAATATATAGAACTTAAAATGCATGGATCTAGTGATATATTTATGCATGTACACATAGCATGTTCTTCTAAATATCTTCTAATATGTATAGATTGCATTATTTGCTGGATATATCATGCATCCTCATGTGTAGTAAATATTACCAATAATTTGATAACCTGTTTTATGTTTATATACTGACCTCTTGCCACTGCACACTTCTGTACCCTATCAAACAAACAGACAGAAGCAATACAAATAATTATTTATTTATTCGATTTTACTTAATTTTCAATGATTTTTGTTGTGACTGCTTTGCCGCTATACATTGCACATGTTCATGTATGTACCTATTAGCATATGAACTATATAATTTTGATGATGATCAAACGATTAATTTTCACTGCATAAATTTTTATAATGTATTTTTCTGAGTCTTTGAGTCTACGTCCCCTATAAAGGAACAAACAATTAACTGCATAATTCCCTTATATACAATTATAGCTGGAGTGTAAATTTGTTAATATTCCATAGTGGTATGTTCAGAGATTGGATGCCATAGCATACACATAACAGAATCCCTTGCACTGCATGCTGCCATGGGTACTATCTAGACTATTAGTAGTTTAACCCACTTAACCTACTCAGTTTGATATGATGTGAATCTGCTACTTCCAAATTCTACTATGACACCGTTGGTTTATTATTATTTTGGTGTGTTTGTATACACTAAGGCACCCACTGTATGGCTGTAGATTCTCCTTTTTTGAACATTCATCATGTTTGTTAAGCAAACGGTTTTACCCATCCCTCAAATGTAGTGAATGTATTTTGTAATGCCGCCTAACTGTAAATGTATGAATTTCATACTTTTATTTATTGTATGCAGCATGAATTTTTATTTCATCTGGCTTCTCCTCCTCCCTTTCTCTTTCTCTCTCTTTCTTTCTCATTAAGGCACTGATGCAGTAACTGCTATTAATGAAGCTATCTTTGACTACGAAAACGAGACTTGTGTTAAATTCATTCAACGCTCTATCAATGACACTGATTACATTAAATTCTCTTATGGATCTGGGTATGCATCATGATGCATATAATACTGTATAGTGCTTTATTTTGGTGTTGCTTTATTTGAGCAATTTTTCTGTAAAATTGTAATTGACAGTTTTTAATTTGGTGATTTTTGTGTACACGTGCATTACTGAGCATGCACATTAATGATTGGCAGTCTTAATATTGAGGATTATCACTATTTGCCTAAATAAAAATCTCTCAAATTAAAGCACTATTGTATATTAATTGATGTTTTATAATTTTCTTTCCTTTCTCAGTTGCTCTTCATTCTTTGGTAAGATTGGCGGTGAGCAGATAATATACTTAGGGCCAGGTTGCTATAGCAAAGGAGTAGTTATACACGAGATATTCCATGCACTTGGAAGATGGCATGAGCATAGCAGAACTGACAGAGATCTTAAAGTGAAAGTTCACCTTGACAATGTTATGCCAGGTATATACAGTATATAATGCAAAAATTTACAGTGAACTTAGTGTATAATGCTATAGTATGAGAACTGTAGTTTGTCATGTTTCATCATGGTTATATCATTGTTATTGTTCTAATTACTTAATGAAATTGCTTATATTATTGTTATTGTGAAACAGGAATGTATAGAAATTCCTACTCATTAATTGGCTTCATTTTTTCCATGCTTACTGCAGACACGTATACAAATTCCTACTCATTAATTGGCTTCATTTTTTCCATTCTTGCTGCAATTATTTAATCCATTTAAACTTTAGGGCTTGAGAGGAATTTTGAAAAGGTGAATTCATTTCTATCTACAAATCAGGGAGTCCCTTATGACTTTGACTCTGTAATGCATTACGGCTCCAATGCATTCTCTAAAAATGGCAAACAAACCATCACACCAATTGACAAGAGCATTGACTTATCACGACTAGGACAAAGAAAAGGATTCTCTCACAATGACATACTGCATGTGAAGGCATTGTACTGCCCAGGTATAAGAAAGAAAAGGAATAAAGGGACTGGGAATTTTAAATGATATTTTCTATAGATAGTGCTAGTCAGTGGAGTAGCTGGGGTAGCTGGTCTCAATGTTCTCAGACCTGCAACGGTGGAAAAAGTGTACGGACTCGTGTATGTGTGGGCGGTACTGACTGTGTTGGACAGAATGTGGATGAGAAAGCATGTGAAGAAGCTTCATGTCCTCAACGTAAGAGAAAATATGCTATACCTTCCAACTTATATTGGTTCCTTCCTTCTCTCTCTCTCTCTCTTTTATTACTGTAGCCCCTCAGTGGAGCTCATGGGGTGCTTGGTCTGGTTGCTCAGCAACTTGTGGTACAGGCAGACGTACGAGGGTAAGAAGATGCATAGGTGGTAACAACTGTATAGGAACAACTCAGGAGTATGAGGACTGCAAACTATCAACATGCCCAGGAAGTAGGCAATGATTTTATTTTTTAAAATGTAATCTTTTAATTGTGTATTTGTTATTTTTAGAAGCAGTTTGGAGCTCTTGGGGCTCATGGAGTGTGTGTAGCACGACTTGTCAAGGAGGCTTTCAGTACAGGACCAGGAGATGTGTTAATGGAACTCACAGAGATTGTTCTTCAATGGGAGCATCGTCTGAGAACCAGCTGTGCAATATTGGTGTAAACTGCAGTGTGATGACAGTGGAGAGGTGGAGTGAGTGCACTAAAAGTTGTGGTGGAGGGGTACAGTTCATGATAGGAAGTAATGGTAGCATGGTATGGAGGCCATGCAATGAACAAAACTGTCATAATGAACCATGTTTGAAAGGTAAGTTTTATATTGTATCAGTTAAGTGCAACTTTTATATTTATCTCCATGCAGGCATATCTCACAGAGGTTGTTACAACTTGCCTTCCGGCTCGCTTTTATTTCTTGAAAGATCTCATCAGCTTCTAATGGACTTACCATACAACAGGACAGACCCTGTCACTAAATGTTCTCAAGCAGCCCATGATAGAGGATACAGACACTTTGCTGTAGCATTAGGTCTCTGCTACAGTGCTGGTTTTAATGATGTAGACTATTATAAAACTGCAGGACAGTCGACTCTTTGTGAAAACGGAGTTGGAAATTATTTCGGAGCTTTTGCAATTGATGTATACGAGATCAGTGACGAATCGTTGTATGCTGAATCAGTATCGAAGATTAATGAGTGTGGGCAAGATTATTGTATGAGTAATGATACTTACATAAGGGAGTGTTCTGATTCAGTTGCAAGTTCAGGATCTCAGACTAAACTACAAAATGGATTAATTCCTTTATTATTACTATTGCTATTATTAGCATCATTCTATTAAGGCAGCACATTCACCATTACTAGAGTTTATTTATTTCTTATTGTGATTATCACTATTTATCAGCTTTATTGGCTTTAATTAATTAATATCTATTAATTATAGTTTAATTAAAATATTCATAGCTATAGTCACGTGGTAATTTGGCGGGGAAGTTGGCGGGAAATGAACTGTCATGGCGGCTACAATGGCAGAACAAATTCATGTCATAGAAAACGTCCCAGTCTCTTTTCCTTTTACTCCCTACCCCTGTCAGATAGAGTATATGGAGAAAGTTATAAAAGCATTGCAAAATGTTAGTTTTAACTCAAAATTCTCCTTCATTTTTTTATTTACTCTATTTTTTCTCCTCTCTCTTTCTCCTTCTCTAGAATACAAACGCCATATTGGAATCTCCTACAGGAACAGGTAAAACCCTCTCCCTCTTATGTGCCACATTGTCTTGGAGACAGCAATTACCTGCCCCTGTAATTTCTGAATGGGATCTCCAATCAGGTTTTGAAAATAAAACTCAAAAAAATTTATTAAAATTTTATAGATTCAAAGGGCCCCTTGGGTGGGCGGCCAAAAATCATTTATGCATCTCGGACCCATTCTCAGCTATCACAGGCAATCCATGAGCTAAAATCAACCTCGTACAGGTACATGTAATTACATGTATTTTATTCATATATTTTCTCTCTCTAGACCCAAGGTATCAATAATAGGATCACGTGATCAACTGTGTATCAATTCTGAAGTCATGTCGAAGGATAGCAATGCAGAGAAGGTTCATGCCTGCCATGCTAAAGTCGCAGCAAAATCATGTACGTATTACAATAACGTTGATCTTAAAAGGCTTAGCGTTCCAGAGGGTTTTATACCTGATATCGAGGAACTCGTGGGAATGGGAACCAAAAATAAGTAACCTAATCTTTCTTCGATTAATTTTTTGACTTCTTTCCTTTCTATTTCCCTCTCTCTTCCTTAGAATGTGTCCGTATTATCTAGCAAGGGAAATGAAAACAGAAGCTGATCTAATCTTTATGCCATACAATTACATACTGGATCTCAGGGTAATCAATAGTAATGATATTAATTAATAATAGTAAAAGCAATTTATGTATAGACTAGGCTGGTACATGGTATCAATATAACCAATACTGTTGTCATATTAGATGAAGCTCATAACATAGTAAGCAATTTAATATTTAGATACATGTATTTAAATTTTAAATTTTTTAAAATTTAAATTTCAATATTAAGATATTTGAATATTTAAATTTAAATTTTTATGTTTAAATATTTAAACTAGGAGAGGGTGTGTGAAGATTCCTCTTCATTTGAACTGACCAGCACTGATATAGCTCATTGTATTAAGGACATTGACTATTTATTAAAAAATAAATACGAAGAAGCTAAGGAATATTTATCAGGTAAGCCTAATATGGGCATGGGTGTGATCTGATATTAATTAATTATTTTATTAGAGCTTGATACACAGACTCAGAACACGCTAAAAGATCTTGCTAATTTGAAAGGTGACGTGTGAAAAATAATTTTATATTTTTACTTAATTTTTAGAGCTGTTTTTATGCCTCGAGGACTCTTTGGATAAAATTGAATTAAAATCAGAAAATAATGAATGCGTAAAACCAGGAAGGTAGTTATAAAATTAATAATAATATTATTATATTCATTATTGCTGTTCCCTCAGTTATATTTTTGAGTTCCTGGGTAAAGCTGGGATCACCACTGAAACCCATGTGGTCCTCATTGACCAGTGTTCACAGGCAATAGCGTCACTTACCAGTGACCAGTCGCTCCACAGAACCAGCACTAATTTACAGAAATTCCTAGAGGCTATAAAAGTATAAGCTATTAATTACGTACGTGGTTCGCTATTTTTTTTTAAAGATTGTTTTTAGTGGGTCTTGTCCAGCTGGTATGACCAGGGAGAGAATGGCTTCACTTCATTACAGAGTTTATATAAAATCAGACAATAATAAGAGAAAAAAGAAAAGTGATGTATGGACTACTGATAATAATACTGATGACACATGTAAGTGAAATAAATACTGTGTATCAGCTAACAACTTGGGGCTACATGCATTAAGGAATATAGGAGATCTTCAAATACACATGCCTTTGTACAGATTAAAGTCTAAAATATGAAATAGAGTCCCAGGCTTCTAAAATTTATGGTAGTAATCATACATGTACATGTACATGTAATTATAGCTAGTAATTTTTGTGGCTCAAAATTTTACATCAAAATGACCTTTTAAGTTTTACTGATTACAAGTGTTTTCTCAAAAATTTCAAATTTACATACAAAAAATTGTAGCTATATAATGTATTATCTCATACTCTCCTTCCTTTAGGTCGTAGGTTATGTTATTGGTGTTTCAATCCTGGCTATGCTATGACTGAGTTAGTGAGACAAGGAGTGAGATCAGTTATACTGACCAGTGGGACACTATCACCATTGGAGTCATTCACTTCCGAGCTACAACTGTAAGAGTTAATATTAAGGGTGTGGCTACTGGTTAAATTGTGAAATTTTTCGGACTATACGTGATTTATATGTCAAAAATGACGAGAGAGAGAATTTCTCATTTTCGGGCAAAGCCCACTAAGATGAGAGTGAGTTTTTTGGTTTGTTTGTACAGGGATGATTGGATCAACTAACTATTATTAAAGTTAAATAGCCTAACCTTCATTGAATGTGAGTGGGGTCACAATGAATAAAATGGCAGCTGTTACCAAGTGTTATATTTTATTCTCATACATACTTATATTCTGTAGAAAGTTTGGGCTGATTCCAATCAAAATTGTACTTTTACGAATTTATGAAGTTGCTAAAAAATCAGGTAAAAAATAGCTACATGTAGAAGAGAATTTTCCTTTTTTTAATGATTTTTTGATACATAATACCTGTACATGTTCTTATGCTGTGTATCAATTTTGAACTAATTTCAAGTAAATTTGGATTTTTTATGATTTTTGAAATTGCTCAAAAATTGGGCCAAACACCCTGTATTATAGGAACTATGCCCCAATTTCAAAAAGTAGCTAGGAGAGAATTTCCAAGTTTTATAGTTTCTTTTATATGTATGCATGTCCTCCTTATATTGTGCATCAACTTTGAGCTGATTGTAAAGAAAAGTCTGAAGCCATTAAAACTATTAACTTTTACTTATCTATACAATTGATACAACTTGTTTATTCCATTGTAATAAGTATGAACTTTCATATTTTTTGTACTTACAGTTTTGAAAATATGTGTGAAATATAAACAATAATAACAACAGCAGCAACAACAATAATAAATTATGAGCAGCAAATTACAAGTCTTAAGATTTGTCTTTGAATAATTATTACACAAAAGTCACACTAAGGCATGCATGGTTGTATGTACTTGCACTATTGTGCTCTAAAAGCACAATAGTACAACAGTGCACAATAGTCTCATCACTGGGCTGGGGAATTATGTCGTGAAGAGTAACCACTATCACGGCCACTTGAAAAGGCCTTTTGAAGAGGTTTATTTGATGAAACTTTTAACGGAACCTCTGACAAGTAATTTGTTGGTAATTGTTCTTCTGGCTCAAAGTTACAACTATGTGCTTTTTCAAGCAGTGCAAAATTTTGTATTTTATTTTGAAGCCCTACGCACTCTTTTGATATATTTTCTCTCAGTCTCTCTGCTATTTCCATTGTATATGAAGGAGTTTTGATTGTTATTCCGTTTTCTTTAAGCCTTTCCATTTGTTCTTCATTGCTTAGGAATCTCATAACTTTGAGCAGGTGAACAGGAAAAATGGCATAAGTAATTAGTATGCATTTGTAGCCGATACTTTGGAGTAGGTGCTTGTTCTCTTCTAGAAAAGGCAACCATTCATTTAGATCTTTTTTGTTTTGAGTTTTCCACTCTTTTGAGAGACTAATAACGACAATCGGTAGTCCTACGACAGTGCCTGGGTTTAGTTGAGGGTTCTCATCAAAAACTTCAATCAGTTGGCAAAAGGCAGGCTTTTCAATGAACTGGCAATAGTGCTTCTCGTACTCTACTACCTCTGCTTTTGCCATTTCATACCCATCTCCACATATAACTTTGCTTGAAAATTCTTTGAGAAGGTAATAATTTAGGTAACCAACGAAACGATTTTTAACGAGGAACTTGAATACTTCGTCCATGTTTTCGATTTTATCGATTAGTTCCAAGTATGAGCTAATTCCATGCGACTGATTTAAGCACTTTCCTTGCAATATATCGATTAGCTGGTTTTTAACTATTTCTACATTGGCCTTTTGTGAGAGTTGTTGTATCAGCTGAAGGAGCTGGCGATATTTTTCTTCCAATTGAAGAGCTTGAACTGTTAGATCTTCTTCTTCTAATGCTTTCTGATGCATTAAAGCAACAGCTGCAAAGACAGGGGGAGAGAGGTACATGTAGTGTGTAATTAAAGATGCAATTGAAATGATTTCGTGTTATGTAGTGTTTGTGGTAGAAAAATCAACAGTTTGTATCAAGAATACATGCTCTTGCTTATATGTACCTGTGCTTGTGCTCCAAGTAGGTGTTGTTGATGCTTGCACAACTTGAGCTCCTTCTATATGCATTAGACATAAAATTTATTATTGAAAATGCAATTTTATTCAATTTTTAAAATTTGTTTTACAAATGGCAGCAATGTATTGTTTTACCTGTAGTTTCTGTGGTTTTAGATGCTTCCTCCTTCACTTTTTCTTCATATTCCTGAGCCATTCTGTCCTCTCCTATTACTTTGAGTCTCAGTGCCTCAACCAGTTGATTGTGACTAGCTCCTGGTTGGCTTGCAATCCAAAGACGAAACATCTGTGTTCTTTTATCTTGTATATCTGATCTGTCAGACAGTATATCCTGCAGCATTTCCTCATCAACTCCTAACTGTATACCCAACTGATGCCATCTGCTTGTCCTCACTATAGCACACACAGTCTTAAGAGTTGGTTTACCATTCATAACTGAGCTCAAGCTGTTGGGAGGGAGAGGAGGAGTAGTAGAAAGACTTCTTCTTTTAGCCATTGTGGTGTTAGCCTCTGTCAGGCTGTTTGAGAGTGACAGATGTCTTTTTATAGTGAATTGAAAGTAGCCTATGCTATTGTTATTGCGGGAGCTACATTATTGTAATCAACTTCATAATGATATTAATTACAGTTGACAGTTTTTAGCCCATTGGTCCATTGGTTAATGTATGGATAAATTAAGTCACCCAGATCCTACCCCATGCAACAGGAGAATTAAGGGTCTGATACAATATTGGCTCAGTTGCTTACTTGTACATATTTTCACTTACATTTGAACACTGCATAAGTGAATTGATTTGGTTCACATTGTGTTTGTCATTGCAATTGGAAGGAACATGTTTCAAAACATAAATATGTTGTAAGCAATGTTAAAGCACATCTAGTGAAATCCACTATTCCAGCTTGATGTATATAGTTATGAACTAGTTATTCATTATTTGTAGGTAAAGAGTCTGCATCTTTCTAAAGTCAATGAGGCTTTTGTTTGTTGTAATTTTAACATTATTTTTTCATGATTATAGCAATTGTAGAAATGGCTTCTAAGCTACTAAAGCCATCATACTAAATTTGTTAAAGGATATGTTATCCTTTTAAGCAACTACATCACTTGTTTATAAATTTTTATCAATGACTTCGTTTGAAAGAGTATATTGTTTACGAAACATGTGGTCAATGAAACTGATTTCAATGAAACTGATTTCATGTAGTTGTGTATATTGCACTTTTAATATACATATAGTTGTTTTGAATAACATGTTTATTAGTAATAAGTTATTTTCCCAAAAGCACTGACAATTTTTAAAAACAAACTTACTTTACTATGGGAAAAAGAAAAGACTACAATTGTACTTATAATAATACTGAGTATTAAGTTGAATTGATTTATATGAGTAGATAGAACATGAGCCAGTATATTGTCCTATACTGTATATCCTCTAATAAAAGCCTGGTACGAATAAACTCCGGGATTGCAATAAAATTGAACAATAAATATGCAAATCTAACCTTAAAATATAATGGATGCCTTGTAGATACTTCCTTAGGCTTCCTGAAGTCTTGTGTGCGAGGTCCCTGGTTTGAATCTAGCTATTAGCTAAAGTTCTATTTTATGTAAAAAATTTTTTTCAAGGTTCAAATGCCATTATAAGAAATAGATGCCCGGGCTTTTATTTAAAGAAATACAATGTATGGTAATACTATAGTACATGCATAGATCAGCTCTCCAACTAACCAATTCTACTTTACATTGCATTTATTATTAATGATTAATGGTCACCTGTTACAATGTAGTTTAGAATTTGCATCAGGATTATCGTTAGTATAGATAGTCAGTCATTCGGAACGATTTTGAATCACTGACTGTCCATACATTACCAATGACAATGCTAGTTTTGTGATACAAATTTTACTCTACATTGCAAGTAGCTGAGCAAAACAAGGCAGTTTTGCTCATTTTTGACTTTGCTTCATAAACATGGTTTTAAGTTGCACTGGTGAATCCTTAAAGAAGCCAGTAAGCATAGGAGCTTATTTTCCCATTGTAGCAATGCTTCAAAGTCATGGCAGCCATTTTGAAGTGGGGTGAACCCTACTTTGTAATGCTACTGCAGGTGCATGCAGTGGAGTAGGGACAAAGTTTACATTGGGGAATATGTGTCAATGCAAAGAAAAAGTTGTTGTACAATTACAAGTGATAAGTTTAATGGTGTGTTTTTGTCAACATCATTAGTAATCAGTAGAAGTTTTTGTACAGTGTATTAACAATATCTATTGATCAAGACAACATTTACTGCCCCTAACTTCTAAGAACCTGGCAATCTCTTCCAATTCTTGGCAAGCAAAATTGGATCTTTTTAAAAATTTTAGAGCTCAAATATTTGTCTCAAACTTTCTACATAGCATAAGGACATTAATATATCAGAAAATGTAATAAAAATTTGCGATGATTTTGGAGCCATTTTAAAGAAAAAACTATGGGTTGGAGAC